TGCCCATCAACTGGAGACTGGATAAAGAAGATGTGCTTTTTTTTTCTTTTTTTTAAATAAAATGGAGTACTACTCAGCCATAAAGAAAAGAAACTAGAGACATTTATAGCTAAGTGGATGCACATTGAGGCCATACTCTTAAGTGAAATAAATAGCACACACATGAGTAAATACTGAATAGTTTCTCTCGTGTGAGAAACTAAAAATGTAAATAAGGATCAAAATGTATAATAGATAATGTGAAATAGGAAGTAAAGGTCTAAAGGGGTAGGGGAAGTGGGAGGGGTAGGGGATAGGAAAGAAGGGAATGGAATTAATATGAGAAAGTGAAAAAATGGAAACAAAGTCTTTGTAAATAGGGAGGGATGGAGGGGTTGAAGGGAGGTCAGGGGAATGGGGAAAAAATAAGAACCAGGATAGATTATGTAAATGTGCAGATTTCCAATGATGAATGTCATTATATTGTATACCTAACATGTACCAATAAACTTACTGAAAAAAAAAGAAGAAAGAGTCTTCACCTGGGCCTTCCAGGCTCTGAGAACACAGTCTGGCTGTTCTGGAGATTCTTGGGAGAACGAGCGGCTGGTGGGGCTGCAGTGTGCAGTTGATTTAATTTTTTTGCATTTCCTTCTCTGTGCCTTTTGATCAGGCATTGCTGATTTTCTCTTCCATGAGTAGGAAAAGTAGCAGTTGTTACAGCTTGCTAGCAATATGGATGAAAAACTTGGCAGAAAGGCAGGAAAGCTGAGGCGTGTGTACCTGGGTTGTCCAGACAGCCTGTGCAATGAGGCTGATGAGCAGCTGTCGGTCTCAGTGACAGACCTGCCACCCTGGACAGCCCAAGGCTGATTGGCAAACGATCTGGCCGGAAAAGTTTACCTGCCTTAGGTTGCCACCTGGAAATGCACCACAGCATAGCTGACTTGTACATAGTTCTTAACTTTCCTTTTCTCTTCCTTGGACAGCTCACAGACCTCTGAAGAAAGTGCCATTGAGACAGGTTCCAGCAGTTCCACCTTCATCAAGAGAGAGGACGAGACCATTGAGGACATCGACATGATGGATGACATTGGCATAGACTCCTCAGACCTGGTGGAGGACAGCTTCCTGTAACTGGCAGATCCAGTAGGCAACTTCCACTCCTGGAGCCACCTGTGGGACCCTTTAGGAAAACCACTTTATTGCAATGCAAAGGTCTAGAAGAGGACTTGGATAATGGGTGAAGAGGACTTCCTGAAGGGAGCTGGGGAGCCTTCTGAATCTGAATGAATGGGATTTTTGAAATAAACTTTTTTGGTATTGCCTCTTGCAATACTTCAGTAGCATCTCAGTGGCCTGTGAAGTTTGGAAATATATGGACAGGGAATAGCAGGCCACAGAAAATGAACTTTGTGTTTCAAGGGCATTGGTGAGATTTCCACACACACAATTTGTACTGCAACAAAACCCCAGCATTGTAATTATGTAAATAATTCTAACCCAGGATGTGTTTAGATTTGTATTAACCGTCTTCTCTGGACTTCTGAAGAGACCACTCAGTCCATCCATGTACTTCTCTCTTGGAACCTGGTATCAGCTGCTGTTGAATTTTCTTATGAAGTGCATGCAAAACCACTTTTGAACCTTAAAAGGTATTGGTACTATCACATTTTACTTTTTTCTTAGTGTTAAAGAGATAAAAGATAACAACCAACTTTGTTTAATAGATTTGGGTCCTTTTGGGTCATTTTAATATTGTAGCCTATGTTTATAATAATACTACTGTTATCAGTAATGCTAAATAAGTAATATGTAATGTGATTTCCCTACAGAGAAAGCACAATTTAAAGAAAAAAACCCCTTTACTAAGTAGGTGACAAGTCTGACAGTATTTGACATTTACATTAAATAACATATGTTTCTTTATAAAACATGATAATAGCTTTAGTGTATTAAATTTAGTAAACATAGAGAGCAAAGTATAAGTAGTGTTGTCCAAGAAGTCAAAGTTTTTAATTATGTACTGAATAGGTCCCCTAATCCATTCTACTAAAAACAGCTAATAACCTCTGAAGTAATGGGATTAGAAACAAACAAAACCCCCACATTCTAAATCTTCTCAATAGAAAGGCAAAATCCTGTGCCCAACATGACTTCTGCTGTGACCCAGTAGAAATCATGATAATCAGAAAAAAGACTGGATTCACTGAGGTGTCTTTCGCGACTAATGCTAACTTTGGTGAATCTATGAACCTTGAGAGTCAGAAGGATGCCATAACTTCAGCTCCTTTCTTTCATCTCATACCCTAAAGAGAAGGAGCTTGCAAACCTGAGATCATAGAGGTGTTTTTCATGAAACCTTGTGTGCATCAGCCTGGCTCTTCAGTTCTCAGGTGGAACTGGCAATGGGAACCACTAGATTCTGCAGAACCCAGAAATTATGCATTATTAAGTCTGATGGAAGCAGGAAACTACGTTTTTATAAACACCTTGGCTATTCTGATCAGCCAACTTTCAGAAACACTGACTTAGATCACAGGAGGTTGCCATGGGGGAAAAAAACAATTTGAAATTTGGATCTGATCTAGAAGTCAACCATGCAGGAAGCCAACTATTAAAGTACTTGGCTTCAGGTCAGTGACATATATATATATATACACATATATATATATGTATATACGTATATATGTATATATATGTATGTATATATGTGTATATATATGTACGTATATATGTATATATATGTCAATTGCTACCCTTAGTTTAACTTTCCAGTCTTAGCCGAGGCTGAGAAAGCTAAATTTTTGGTTTTTGGCACATCTTCCAAAATTTAAGACAAAGTAAAGGTGCTGCTTCCCATCGCATGGAAGACTTGAACCTGTTCTCCTCCAAGGAAAAACATGTGTAAAAATTACCAAATTCCACATGCCAAGTCTCTGAATAGCCAGGTTAATATTTTGGTGAAAAAGATTGAAAAGTTTTCCTGGGATTTTGGGTGTAAGTGGGAGGATGAATTGTCACATCCATCCAAACTGTCAAACTAGTTAGTATGGGTTCATTGGAATTCTTTGCAGTATGCTTAATTGCTGACACCATTATGAATGAAACATGGGCTGTGATTACAGCAATCACTGATGTGCTTCTGGCAGGTGATGCTTTGGAAGATGTAGAAGCAATAACAAGGTACTTGACTACCTACTGGTGGAATCTCAATGCAAGCCCCAACTTTCTTGTCCTCCTTTTCCACAGTATGTGTGAAGACTGAGCCAGATTGGCCAATTAAAAATGAAAACCAGACTTGGTTCCATAGAGCCAATTAGACTTGAAATACATTTGTGTTTCTAGAATCATAGCTCAAGCATTCTGTTTATCACTCACTTTCCCTGTACAGCCTTATTTTGTTGGTGCTTTGCCTTCTGATGCTACTTTGAGTCTTGCATGGCATTATGAGGCTGGATGAAGATTCTCAGCCTGGTGATTTCCAGTCTGTACGAGTGCTCCTGCCTGAAATGATGAGGGATTGCATTTTTAAAATGGTGTTTTCAATGTTTTCCAGATTTGTTTCCTTTTTGGCCTCCTGAAAAGTCCCCAGAAGAAAATTTGCTAATCCTTCCCACTTTCTATTTTTATGATGACAATCAAAGCTGGCCTGAGAAACACAATTTGTGGTTTTTTAAATGATCAATGATATTCTTAAAATGTTGTCTGCCAATCTGTACAAAATGGTCCTATTTTTGTAAAGAAGGACATAAGATAAAATGATGTTATACATCAATATGTATATATATATATTTCTATATAGACTTGGAGAATACTGCCAAAACCTTTATGACAAGCTGTATCACTGCCTTTTTTTATATTTTTTTTAACTGTGATATTCCCTACAGGCACATTAACTGTTGCACTTTTGAATGTCCAAAATTTATATTTTAAAATAATAAAGAGAAAAATACTTACATGTTCCCAAAACGGTGGTGTGGTGCATGTATGAGAGGAACTAACTTGATGTGGGGGGGGGGTCTACCCATATGAAATGTATTACAAATGCCCCGTTCATGTTTTTATTTTAAAACGTGTAAATGAAGATCTTTTATATTTCAATAAATGATATATATATATATATATTATGCTGAGGTTCCAGCAATATTTTTGTTTTTTAGTTTGATCATAAAAATTAAAGCAATCCTGTTCAACTTGCTTTCTTAGCGACATTTCAGTTGGCTTCTATATTATACTTTGGATGAACTAGTGAAAAATTTAGGATTCAAGATGCTATTTGAACTAGTTAGTTTTCAGACACAGCATTTGATGTAAACACGATTGGCACTTGGCTCATCTTTGATTCTGTCTTTTTGTTTGTTCTTATTTTTTGGTGTTTCCCTCTCCTGCATAAGGAACACAAGCCTACATTTACTCTGTACAACATTTGAACAGTGTAAGAATGCATAAAGTACAATGGTGAAGCCTTTTTTTCAAATGTATCTTCGTCCCTGTCCTTGTCTTGTTTCACAGAGACAAAACTACATGATTTGGTATGAATTTTTTTATTCCTTTAGTCCCTTTTCTATGCATCTGTGTATATCTGTGTATTTTTGTTTCGTATTTTGCCTAAACAGGATTGCACTCTATGAAATGTTTTGTAATGTGTATTTTGAAAAATAGACTATTAATTAAAACAGTTTTAGGTTCACAACAAAACATGAGATGTGATTTTTAAAAATACAGTAAATATTTAAAATTTTAAAAAAATCTATTACAGCTAAAGCCACATTGCCATTAATCTCCGTCCAAGTATTCCCCTTTGCTTGAACACACTTATCCCATGGCTCCTGCTACTTTCTGAAGCAGTTCTGGAAGTCCTCTTTCATGAGTGTCTTTGCATTGTAATGACTGGCTTGATATCCTGAAATGATTCAAAATGTTTACCTTTCATAATCATTTCGATTTTGAGGAAGAACCAGAAGTTGTGCAATGCTAGATCTGATGAATAAGGTAGATGAAGATGAGCTATAATGTTTTTATTTGTTAGAAATTGCCATAAATGTTTACTTGAAGGGCAGTCATAAAATGCAGTGAATGTGTAAAATTTAAAAATTTATTAAACTACAAGATACACTGCCATTAGGCCCCCTAAGAATACTCAAAATATTCCCATATACACTTATCCAATGGATTTTTTGCAATGTGTCTTACTGTAATAAGTTCTTTAAAAATTTATACATTTTTTGGGGGGTTTTTTTTGGTACTGGGGATCGAACTCGGGTCGCTTGTGAGGCAGGCAGCAGAACCACTGAGCTAAATCCCCAGCCCAGTTCTTTAAAAATTTAAACATTCACTATGTCTTTCAATTACCCTTTGTAGAGTAGAAGGTGGAAATTTCCTGTATGCCCCTGCCATGACACCTGCCTAGCCTCCTCTGTTCTCAACGTTCCCTGAGCCTGTACTGATACATCACCCACACTCCAAATGGCTTTTTCCTTTTACTGCTACAGTTTAGAGATCTCTGTGAGAAGTATATAAAGGTAGATCTACATTTAAAAAAAAATCAGCTTTATGATATCTCATGATATAAATATACCATAACTTGTGTTATCACATTCCTGTAAAATAGATTCATAGCTTCTAAATCTTTGCTATAAAAATGACCCCAGTAGGCCAGGAATTTAGCTCAGTGGTTCCACCGCCTGCCTCAAAAGCTCAAGGACCTGAGTTCGATCCCCAGTACCCCCCCCCAAAAAAGACCCCATGTAATCTTTGCAATACATCCTTGTGCACACATAGTATTTTGTTTCAATAGATTCCCACAAATAAAGTTGCTAGGCCCAAAGGTGTCCAGAAATAAATTAGTGTCGAGCACAAGTCTTCATGTACAACTGCACAGTAAATTCCTGTCTGCTCGGGAATCACTGGCTTTGCAGATTGTCTGCAGTTTCCTGCTCTCCTGTACCCTGTGTTGCTCAGGAATCATAATCTTCAAAACAGGATTGGAAGAGATGTGTTGACTTAAGTATGGGAGTATATGGGCTTTGTGTTCTGAAGCAGTTGGAGCCAATGATTAGGATATTTTAAAAAAATGATGCAACTCACCTTATTTTCATTTCATAGACAATAGAAATTATGTTGTTAATTGGAAGATATCACCCTATTCCAATATAACTCCTTATTCCCAGAACCCAAAAGCCTGCAGATCAAAGCATATCTCCTAGGAACTCAGCTGCAGGGTGAGTATTGGCTCCATGGGAAGAAGACAGGTGACTAGGAGCAATAAACCTGCTGGAAAACAATAGCTGCCTACTGTAGCATCAACATGGGGCTCTGGGGTTGTCTGGGGAGATAATTTTGTCCTCTTTTTAAAAGTCTGTAATTCTACTTCCTAATATAGTACAGATAACTCTGCCAACTTTGTTTAGTCATGATAAAATAAAAGTTGACTCATTATTGGAGAGTTTTTAAACTTTTGAAAGATCTCACAGTTTTTTTGATTCTTAAAACAGGCTTTAGTTGTTGTTATTATTTCTTGTAATGGCAAAGAGTATAGCCAAGGAAACCCAGGATCCACAAGACAAATGATTTCTAAAAATCTTATAGCCAAGTAATGATAGAATAGGATTAGAAATTCCAAATATACTAATCCTACTGTCATTTATACTATAACAAACCATAAGAAAAGCAAGAAAGACTGGGAAATGCCAGTGTTCAGTAGTTCACTATACTTCTTTGATATTTCCAAATACAAGTGATTGACTCATCAGGCTGTAGAACTATTCTACACATTTGTAATCAGAACAATTTCTTTTCAGGCTGTAACACAACAGCTCTAATAATGGGTATTGTCATTTGAATAGTGATGTGCTTCATGAAACACAGCTCAGGAAAATGGCCTAGAATATCTGAATCCATCCTAAAGCAGGCATTTTTCCCTAAGATAACAGTAATGATGCTTCATTATATCTGACTCCAAATACACGTAAGGATTAAATCCAATGACATTGTTACAGCTGGATTGATATACTGTATTTATAGTTATTTCACCCCTATAATTAGAAAATATGTGAAAATACATATGTGGCCTACATTAGCAGTAATAACATTCTGCTCCACCTGGTTGTGGGAATAGCACCTATGTCCTAAAGAATAATGAATGTAATCTCCAAAATGTGTTCATACATGGGTACTGTTTCTATCACCCACCTCTTAGTTTACATATATAGCGATGGAGACATCAAAGACACATAGTCTCACATGGCAGGGGGAACATATTTGCTCCCTGTTTCTGGTTTATAGGCTAATTGGAATTTTAAAAAGACTTGCCACATTATCCTGGCAGATGGTATTTTGCTTTATCATTATTCATGGGTATTAATGACTTCCCTCTGGAGCATGTGTATCCTATTTTGAATTTCATTACATTTCATGCTGACTGCTCCAAACAGAATAAGATCCAGTATTTTCTGTGTGATGCTTGAGCTGCAGATCATTTGTTGGTCAAAGTTTTGATTGGGAACTAAGTAACTCTTTGAAATAAAGGAAACGTTTTTCTTCTCTATCCTGAGTCTTCTGTCATATTTCTCATTTTGTTCAGCTCACTGTCCCACAGGGGTATGTGTAGGATCAGGTGTATACAAAGACATTTCCAGGGTGGATGCATCTTTCATTAGCCTGGGTTGATTAGATGCCTTTTCTTTCTTTCTGGAAAGGCTGGGGTTTGGCTTCCTAAATGAAGAAAATGGATGAGAACAGATGCAAAGATCTGGCTGAAGAAATTCACTTTTAAATTAATTACTTCCACAAATATTTATTATAGAACAGGTTCCTATTTGTTGAGATGATTTGTAAAATGCTTCAACATTAATGAGGTAGCTGGCAGAGTTCAGTCCAGCCAGCTAATTCCCTGAAGGGACCATTAAATCACAGAAAACAGCAGGGCAGAGCAGAAAATTGTGGAAGGTGAAGGCCACCGTCCTTCCTTCCTTCTGTCCTTCCATGAGAGCAGCAGGTTACAGAGTGCAGCTTCTTGAAGGCTTCTGATAAAAATGGAGCTTTTCTGCTACCCAAGGATGAAAAATGTGGCCAGTGCATTTGAGAGCAGGGAACAAGGGCTAGGGCAGCCTGTGCCTTCAGTCCCTGTCCTTGCTGGGATTCCAGACACTTCCATGGCTACCTTCATATTGCCCTTCCAAATTTTTATTCCTCCATCTTTCATCTTTTTTTTTTTTTCGAAACCACTGAGCTAAATCCCTGGCCCTCCATCCTTCATCTTTATTGAGCAAGGCACTGTTAGGCCCTCAGATACAGGAAGTTAGAACAGAAAAGCCTCCTACATCGTGGAAATAGTGCCTCTTCAGAGCAGAGGGTTGATCTGTTTGAGGTACAGTATAATAAAGACCATGTGCCCCTCAGGGACAAAGCTTGGCCTGATTTCCTTGTGGCCCATTAGAGAAGATTGGAGTTTTTTAGTACAGTAGTCTCTCACTATGCACGGAGAATCAGTTCCAGATGCCCCGGCAGATTCCAAAATCCATAGCAACAAATAGAAATTGGAAAAATACCACTTACAATTTCCCTTATGTAAGATGGCATGGTATTTGCACTTATGAACATCCTTCTGTATACTCTAAGTCATCTCTAGATTACTTAAAATACCTACTACAATGGAAATTCTACACAGGCTGATTATACTGTATTAATTAAGAAATAATGACAAGAGAAAAGTCTGTATATGTTCAGCACAAATGCAGTTGCTGTAGGCTTCTATAACAGAGAGTACACAAACAAGATGGGAGGAAACAAAGGCTAAGAGAGTGCAGAAAGACCCTGAGGGTCTTGAGAGGGTGGGAGGTGGCTGCAGGACACGCCTGCACATCACTGCATTTTAGTGAATTCATTGTAGTACTCAGCTTGTGACAACTTCAAATTTTGCTTTCTGGAACTTCTTGAAAATTTTTGTCAAATATTTTTCATCTGTAGTTGGTTGAATCTGTGGATGCAGAACTCAGTGATAGAGAGGACTGACTGTATTTTGTAGTTTGTTAGTGCACTTACATACACTGTATATATAACATATATACACTATATATAATTTACAAATAGTTCATTTTTTAATGGCAAATAAATACATTAAAAATGTTCAACATTGCTAGTTATTAGAGAAATGCAAATTAAAACAACACCAAGATTCCATCTTATGCCAAAAAGAA